TGTTGTAAATTCTATATTTATTTACAATGTTCGGATTTTGGATAAGTGGAAAGATTTAAAAAAATTCCCTAGTAAAGCTTTCCCAAATACTTTTCGTTTGGAACCAGTTATGTAATATTTCATTTAATTTCAATATTTTCAGTCTTTACTTTTAGATAGATGATAATCCTATAAAAAATATTTCCAAATCAAGATTTTTCAAATACCTTTCGTTTGGCACCCATATTGTTCCTCAAACATATTTTCGATTGTAAGTCTTCTTAAAACTCTTTAGTTTGATACCCACATTGCAATATTTCATTTATTTAATCAATCCAAAACGGTCCACCCTAATGCTTAATAATATAGGTACATATGTACGCATACATGTACACTAAAGTGGTCCAAAAATGTATGTAAAAAAATAAGGTCGGATTTTTAATGCCGCCACCCCCTAGGATTGTTATATACCGAAAAAAATATACCCATATTTTTTATTTTGAAATAAAAAATAATTTAGGTAGTGCTCAAAGCGCTCAAAGTTTTCCATGTATTTTATATGGAGAAAAAACATCTTTTCGTAGAAATAGTGTAGAATTCTTGAAAATCAATATTTTTCGATCGGAAAACTTTACTTATCTTCAGGAGATTCCCAGTAATAATACTCAATTGTTTCTTTAACAATTTTTTCATGGTAACTATATTTTATAGGTCCTCCAAAGCCCTTAGAAAATGCAATGGGAGGACCAATAAAAAATCTTTAATCATAAAAAATGGTTAAATAAACAATTGGATATTAGTCTCCTGAAGAGAACCATAGTTTTCCGGTCGAAAAATATTTATTTTCAAGAGTTTTATACCATTTCTACGAAAAATTGTTTTTTCTCCATATAAAATACATGGAAAACTTTGAACGCTTTGAGCACTCCCTAAATATTTTTTGATTTTAAAATAAAAAAATAGGGGTATATTTTTTTCGATATGGATCAATCGTAGGGTGTGGCGGCATTAAAACTCCGACTTTATTTTTTTGGACCACTCTAATGTACATATGTATTTATTAGAAACTGTCATAAATTTTTCCCGCCAAATTAACTATTTTTTAACTTCCCCTCCAAACAGTTTTACTGCTTTGAGGTTGAACTCAATTCTATTGAAAAGAGCGCGGGTAGTTATTTTCCCGTATTCAACCAGGAACGGCCGTCAGCCACCACACATCGTCCGTACCCGCTCTACATTTGTACATATCCATAAAAAATAATAATAAATCAAACATATTTGACAAGGGACTAATTTTTCGTTGGTTTATTTATTTTATCGCTTTATATTGAAAATACATTGGTGCAACATACTAAGCTTTCGAGTTATAATTTTCAAAAAGGTGGCAACTCTCCTCAAAAATATTTCCAACAGTCATCTATCTTAAACTTCCTTGATTTAATACCTATATTTTAATAAGTCATTTATTTTATCAATTATGCAAATTTAGTTCAATTTTCAAACAGGTGGCAACCCTCCTCAAATATATTTTCGGCCGTAAACCTTAATATTGAAATACTTCATTTATTTATTTTTGTAATATAAATGATCCTGCTATGATACCGAACAATACAAAAAAAAATTATTCAAATCAGTTCAGCGGTTCTCGAGATTCGATGACCGTGACAAAGGAACACAACATTTTTTTATATATAAATATAGATTTCCAAAATCAAGATTTTTAAATGCCTTTAGTTTGGTACCGATATTGTAACATTTAATTTATTTTACCAATTTAATTGAGATAAATTTTCAAACAGGTGGCAACCCTCTTCCAAGAAACTTTCTACTGTAGGACTTTTAAAAACTCTTTAGTTCGCTACCCACATTGCAATATTTCATTTGTTTAATCAATATAACTGAGTTAAAATTTTCAAATAGCTGGCAATCCTGCACAAAAGTATTTCCTAAAGTTTTCTTTCCTCAACCTCTTTAATTTGATACCTATTTCAATTATATTGAGTTAAATTTTCAAACAGGTGGCAACCCTCCTCAGGCATATTTTTTATCAAAATAACTGAGTTTAAATTTTCAAAGATGTGGCAACTTTACTCAAAAATATTTCCAGCAGCTATCTTTCTTAAACCTCTTGAATTTAATATCTATATTGTAATATATCATTGAGTTTATCAATAAAATTGCGCTTAATTTTTTAACAGGTGGCAACCCTTCTTTAAAATATTTTCGACTGTAAGCCTTCTTAAAATTCTTTAGTTTGATATCCACATAGCAATATTTAATTTACTTTATCAATTTAACTGAGTTAAAATTTAAAAATTGGTGGCAACCCTTCTCCAAAATATTTCCAACAGATATCTTTCTTAAACCTCTTAATTTGATACCCATAATGTAATATTTCATTTATTTTATCGATGTACTTTAGTTAAATTTTCAAACAGGTGGCAACACTCTTCAAACATATTTTCGGCTGTACGCCTTCTTAAAACTCTATAGTTTTACACCCACATGGGAATAATTCATTTATTTTATCAATTTGTCTGAGTTAAAATTTTCAAATAGGTGGCAACCCTCGTCAAAAATATTTCCAGCAGTTGTCTTTCTAAAAACTCTTGAATTTGATACCCATATTGTAACAATTTATTTATTTTATCAATATAATTGGGTTAAACAATTTTCAAACAGGTGGCAACCCTCCAATTTTTTGCGATATCATTGGTTCTGGTATTATACCGAACAATAAAAAAAAAAAATTATTCAAATCGGTTCAGCCGTTCTCGAGTTTTGACGACCGTGACATACGAACACAACATTTTTATTAATTAGATTAGTAGTGGCATGAATGTATCCCCGTAGCGAATGTCATGCATTAGTCACTTAAGAGTCTTGTACGGAAAAGTTACGTCTTAAATGATTTTGGGCTCCGATTGTATGGAAGTCGTTCATGACTTTTTCATATAAATGGTAATTTCGTCGTTGATGTCATCTGCATGACTTGGGCATGCAGTGATCATTAATGACATTCAAGCGACGGTATCTTGCAATAGACTTTTTATAAGTGACCGCTGCAAGACATCGTCTGTTATAAGGCCTTGATAGGAGTACACCTGCATGACATTGTCACCAGTGTCATTGTCAGCTATATGTCGTTTAGGTTTCACAGCAAGTGCGACGATGTCACTAAGTTCTCATTAGTGACGATGTCACCGGTGACCATTTTCGCTACTGGGATGTATTAAATACGTATATGTATATTAAAACAAAAAAATGAAGTGATCAGTTATGAAATGTATAAATCTTTACATGTTCTGTTAAAAAATATCTGAAATAACAACCGAAAACCCCCAAGTTCTATATCGTAGCTGTGGCCACATTGCGTGTTTGCCACAGACACGGTTTATGTCAAAAGTTTTGAAGTGAAACTACCTTCTGAAAATTTTTGTATCATGTATTGTACCTTAAATCTAACACTTCACAGAATAAGATTATATGAATTTTGAGTCGAAACTTAGCGGAACTATTTAGTTTTTTTCTACTTAAATATTAAAATAAAATAATTTAAAGTCCAACTTTTCACGTTGAACTTACTGAGCTATGTACATATATAAAATTCATTTATTAAATTTAAGAAATTGTGAAATAATCTTTTAGTAACCAGTAATACTTCTTTCAGGGAAAAAATATTTGCAATAGACGCACCGTTACACGTTTAATAGGTAATTGAAATCGCACAAAAAAAAACTTTTCTCTGCTACAGCTAACTGACTTGCATCGACTAGCCAACTTATAAACTTAATATTCTTTTATGTAAGAGATCAAAAAAACAAAAAAATAGTTACAATTATCTATTGTATTAAGAAGTACGCATGACATTAGGTTTGTATAGTAACTTCTCCAGTAAAACATTGCAGCGAGAGCGTAAAAGCAAAATAGAGCGTAAAATTGAGAAGAAGAAAAGCAAACTAGCAGAAAAAGTTAATGAACACAAAACTAGCAAAAACTTGCAAGTGAACAGTCGTTGCACTGTTTTGACATTCTGCTGTAAACATTTTACTATTTATAAATCAGTCTTAAACTCTTTGCTTTACACACAAGCACTTACACAGTCACAATATTTTGATTTAAGCTCCTTTTACTTTTGTTTGTGCTAAACTAATTCAACAAATGGCGGCTTTTGACATTTATTCTTCTTCTTCTTCTGCTAGCTAATTTCTGCTAGTAAAAATTTCACTAGCAAGAATTTGCAGCTCTCCCGCGTTGTTACGCTCTCGATTCAGTGCTCTCTTGCAAATTTTTTGGGTTATCATACACTTTTCCAGTAAAAATTTGCAGGTTCCAGTACAAATTAGTACTGACTATTGGTTACTATACAAACCTATTTCGACGCTATTCGCATGACTTTGATTTTTACATGTTGTCCCGCTAGTTAAGTGAATCCGACCTGTGTGCATCGTGATGCTAAGAGTGTGCTAATGTTTCCAATTATTGATCCAATACTCTGGATCCGCCATTTAGAATTTTTAAAATCGGATAGCAAATTCGTGTGCAGCGACCTAAAAGTTATTTATAGATGGTTTACAATGAGTTTCCTATTGTCGTAATTAAATGAATAAAGGCATAAAAAGATACATAAAATTTTAATTTAACGGTAGCTCAAAAAAGGATCTGATGTGATTTTGAAATACTCAGAAATACCCCCGTTCGCCAAATGGAGCACCATTTTCATAAAACCTAAAGCTGCTTGAAGCTCACTGTGATGGCGCCCGAGTTGGCCTCCAACTTTAGGTCTCTCATGACAAGCCCCACAGAATGTAACCTAAAAGTCTTTGAAGTCGGTCACAAAATACTCTGTGTATGGATTTAATCATGATAAAAACATTACAAGGTTTTGCAAGCATTCTATATATATTGTTGTGTTTAAGTCTCGAATTTTTAATTATATTGCTGGCAAACGTCAGACTGCGTCTCAGTGGTTTTAACTTTTTATGTTTTCAGCATGGCTTTAATAATTCTATTCAACTTACCGCTGGAGCCCATTTGGAGAGTGGAGCTTGCGTGTTGGGTCGGGTTTGACTTTTCGAACGACCTTTAAGTATCTTTCTGGTGACGAATTGCCCAACATTTGACGATGATTTGGATTTTTGCATAGCCGCTTCCAAATTTGCATCCTTCGAGAAAGCTGTAAATAAAGATTTAAGAAGTAATAACTTGACGAATTTATTATTATTTGGATGGCGCATACACCTTCACTGACTATATAACAACTGACATTTGCCCCAGCTTTTGAGAAATTTGCGGTTTCAAATGTTGGTCTTTTGAGACGCGAAAATTAAATATCTTGAAAAAAGGCAAAAATTTAAACTTATACTTTATGTTCAGTATTGCCACACATGAGCTTTTCCTACCAAAACTGGTAGGTTTTTCTCCATTTGGTAGATTGAAAGCTATATTGGTTTTTGAAAGGTTCCGTGACAATAATAGTTATTTGCGAAAAATAGAAAATATGTATCTCCAAACATTTGAGCAATCTTGTCTACACGAATAGAAAGGCGACCGCATACATGTAAATATACCTGATTCGTAAGTACCCTTACAATTAGCAATATACAATATGAACATTCATATATATTTTATGTGTCTACAAGTTAATTTAAATTGAACTGAACTACAAAGATGTGATAAACTATATACACTCTAAAACATTTGTATAAAATTCAGACTACAATAGGAGTAAATTCATGTTTAAATTATTTTGGTGTCCAATAATGGGCATTTTTTGCACCTACTTATGTGAAAAACAAAAAATTGTCTAATATTCTTATAAAAAATGTGTAATATTTACGTTTACAACCAAAATGTCGAAATTTTATGCACGAAGTGTCTAAAAGCTCACATGATGTTTATTTGTTGTGAAATCGTCGCGTCAGTCGGTTTGGTGTGAGCAAATTTTTAATCGTTGGTGTTCTTCGGTGGAAAATTGGCGCAATAAATATATATTTACAAAAGCAGTTATTGGTATTTTTATAAGGTCACAGTTCTTTTAGGTATAGAAATTTTTGGTATGCAAAGTGTGTGCTAAGCAGTTTTGTAAATTAAAGAGCTATCATTTGCATTTATATGCGCATAGGGAATTAAATTGTAATATGTTTGAGTATTTGTTTCAGAATGCAAGAAAAAATGTCAAGCTATAATGCTTATGAAGTGCATTTTTCTAGAAAACATTCCGAACAAGGCGACGTGTTACTTCTATGAACGGCAAATTTAATTGTTCGATGGAATCTTGTGCATATTTTGCATCAAGCATAAGTGAATTGTATTCACATTTTTTAAAGCATTTTGCCTGCTGTGAAAAGGTGAATTGTCCAATACTTTCCAGAGAACGTATATTTATAGAGAAGGACCAAGAACGGATCAGCGTGGAAACTGTCAAATACCAACAAAACCGGCGAAGCGCATTTTAAGAGCGGCCAGCCAGAGACAATCGAATTTTAACAGAGCCCAGCCAGAGGCAAAATAAATTTAACAGAAATTGTCTCATCAAAGCAAATGCATATTTTTCTTGTTAGAAATGAAATGCTGATGGCTTTTTACGTTTTACAACTTTTTCAATCCGACACAAAAATTCCAAAATCTTAAAATGAAGAAATCTCGGCCAGCCAAGTGAAAAGTGGCAACTATTTCTCCATATCCAGTAAAATAAGTTATCTCAAATTTTGGAAATTTTTAGTATTTTTTGACAAAACACTCTATTTCTATGTTTCATATCAATATTTCAATCATTAACTAGTTTTTGAGATGTAATTTTAATAAATATTAAATAAAAGTGTACGTTTTCTGCAGGAAAATAGATAATTTTTTTTAATAAAATCAAAACTTCTAAAATCCCAAGAATATGTGGTTTTATCGGCAGTCCACAGATGTAACGTGGCAACTTAGCTCGTTTTCATATTTTTCGGTCCGAAATTGTAAAATTTTTGTCCATGACGCGCCACAATTTTTGTACAGGAGGGTCAATGTGCCTAGAACACAATTTATATATATACAAAAAAATTATTATTTTTTTATTTTTTAATGTTAAAATTTTCTATACTTCAAAGCGTTTATAAAAATATGTTTACATATATGCACGGACGATTTTTAATATTTTTCAACCGTAAGCAAATCTTCAGTACCATAAAAGATTCAAACACATCAAAGTACAAGCAATGCAATGTCCAAGCTAGTGGTACTCCACCGTACATGTGTATATGAAAGTATGCATGTATGCGTGTAAAAAATGCCAATTCCAGTTAGTGTTTAACCCATTTTAGCGGACATAGTTTTTTTGGTTTCAGCTGGTTCCAACTGTTAATGAAGCACAATTTGTCTGGTTAATCTTACAGAACTTATAATTAATTAATATTATTCTCCATACAAAATGTACAAGTATTTCCATATTCAGTGCAAAGTTATGCGAAAATCTAAATATTTCGTAAACGTAGGGTTAATGGTTTCACGCACGTGCCAATCTGGAGGCGATTCGCAGAAATTGAATAATTTGTGTTGATGGAAGCAACGAGGGGAAGACGAAAGCAGAACAATCGTATATATGTATGTACATATGTAAATTTATAAATGCATACATATTTACATTTTCATATGTTTGTCTTTTTGGTTGCATGAAAAATTTTTTAGCAGAAATAGGTAATATCAATGAAATAATGAAATGCAGTTTACAAATATGTGCTTTATAAATTTAGGTTTATTAATTAATTAGATACGTAAATGACAACGTGGGGGACAAATATGTACATGAGTAGCGAAGCTACCACCCATCCAATGGCAACTTCTTGCACCAGAAAAGATTTGAAAACTGCATTATTTCCATAAATATTGAAAATATTGAAAAATTTCCGACGTTTTCAGATTTTTAGTATTTTTAAAAAAAGTTTCCAAGTCGAACACCATTAAAAACTGAATTATTTCCATAAATATCGAAAATATGGGAAAATTCATACAGACTTTCGACTTAGTTTTGTGAGATCTCTACAAAAAAAAGGAAAATAATTCTTTTCACAGGTTTTTTTTTTAGTCCAATACCAATACAGTTTTTTACTTGAAAATAACACAAAAATTGGAAAATGTTATGTAATATTTCCGATTTATTTTAACGTTGTGTGTACAAATCACCGAGAAGAAATTATTTTTTCCCCTAAAAACTCTACTTAAAAAAAAATCGAATACCAATAAAGTTTTATAATTGAAAATCTAACAAAATATTATAAAAATCGAAAAATGGTATATAACATTTTCGATTTATTTTCACGGTATTTGTGGAAATCACCGGGGAAAAGGATTTTTTATCAAAAAATATTTTCACAAAAAAACACAAACACATGGGACTTTTCTATTTGCAATTATTAATAAAATATCAAAAAAATCGGAAAATTTTATATACTATTTTCGATTTAATTTCATGTTACTTGTACAAATCATTGAAAAAAAAATTTAATTTTTTTACTTGGGTTTTCTATTTGAAAATTTTCCCAAAATATCACAAAAATCATCAATATTCATATTTAATTAACATTCCAAATGCTCTCGTGAGATTTAGCTCTGTTAACATTCTTCTTTTCTGCTTTGTATTTTGCTTTCGCTGTTAAGTATTCCAAATATTTGTCGCTTTTAAAATGCGCTTCGCCAGTTTTGTTGGCTCGAAAAATTTGGCATTCACAGTTTTCGGTCCTTCTCTATAAATTCACGTTCTCTGTACTCTTGTGTTTGAAACCATTTACTAATGTAGGCTCAATTCCATCACATTTTTTCTGTAAGCATAAGCAAGCGAATAACTCCTCTCTGGAAAAAGATATGTATGAAAATATAGAAACACCCAGTGGGTAAAAGATAAGCCCTTAGTGTGTAAATATAACCATCTAGTATATAAACTATTAAGCATCTAGTGTAGGGCTGCCATACGTCCCCGTTTCCAGGGACATGTCCCTGTTTCGGACCCTTTGCCCCCGTGTCTCCGTTTACAACCGAAATATCCCCGTTTATTGCTCGGACAACAATATATAATTAGCTTTTTTTAATTTTAAATGGTTAGCGGAAAATTGTTTAGCCTATCGAATTCGCAAGTGAAAAGTGAACAATTTTGGGCGAAAATAAAACGCATGATAACCCTGCGTTTACATAAGACAATTTGATTTAAATTAATTGTCAAATTTTTTAAAAAGTAGGCGTCCAGACTATTATAAAGACAATACACTTTGCATTGGGACTGTGGAAAGTATCGTTCAGTGCAAGTTCAACTTTAAAAAAAATGACGTGCACTGAATTTTACCATTATGTGAAAAATGAACACGATCTTTTAAGCAAAGTTAAAACTAGTGAAAAATACGAGTGGTATACGCGAAAAGAGACCCTATAACATGTAATATGAGTTAGTTACGTAAAAATGTGTTAAAATAGTTCCTGTTTTGTTTGCTCCCACTTACGTTAAGATGAACTTACGTTAGATTGAACTGCACTTTTTCTTTGATCTCTAGCGGTTATGTTTATTTTAATATTTTGAAATAGTTTGTTTGTATATTAGGGTGGCCAAAAAAAGTAAAGTCGGAATTTTAATGCTCTAATCCCCTAGAATGGTTCTACGTCGAAAAAAATTATACCCCTATTTTTTTATTTTAAAATCAAATAATATTTAGCGGTCGCTCAAGGCGCTTGAAGTTTTCCATGTATTTTATATGGGGGAAAAAATAACTTTTCGTATGGAGTTCTTGAAAATCAATTTTTTTCGATCGGAAAACTCTGGTTCTCTTCAAGAGGCTTCGGAAAGAAAATAATACAAGTAATATTTTCATATGTAGGACATGCTCGTACGAAAGCCAACAGTTCATTCCCTATTAAGAAACCAAAACTGGTAATACCGGGGAAGACAGGTTTTTAGGCCCTGCTCCTTGACACCATATACATAATAGATATGTATATATGCATGTATGCACATTAGAGTGGTTCAAAAAAATTTTTTTTTGGAAATTCATAAACGCTACCTCAAATTATTGTTATTTGTGATAAAAAAAGAGAAACGTGTTTTTTTTTATTTTGAAAAAAAGTTTTTATGGAGGTCGCGCTGGTCGGTTTTTTATGAAAACGCTGATGTTCTCAATTTTTTAATTTTCTTGACATGTTAAAATTCAG